TAACGAACCTGAATGGATAAAGAGGGTGAAATCAGAAGGTGCAATTCCCCTTCTGGACCCAGATGATTGCTCAAACGGTTGGGCTTCTCCACCGGGGAATAGTTTCATGGTAAGAGGTCCAGAATACTTTTCAACAAAGGTTAAAGTTCCCGGTGGTGAATTTCTTCTGAAACCTCTTGGTTTTGACTGGATAAAAGGTCCTAAAAAAATTTCTGATATTCTAAATAATCCAAAACACCGTATCAGGATTGCTCTTCAAGATGAAACTCCAACTGGTTGCAAGCCCTTTATTTGGGCTTTCAACTTGCAAGTTCCCAGTAAGGAAAATTTCAGTGCTGTTGCATATTTTGTGGGCCTCGAACCTGTCCCTGAAGGGTCTTTGATGGAGCAGTTCTTGAAAGGCGATGATGCATTTAGAACTAAAAGGCTAAAATTGATTGCGAATATTGTTAAAGGACCTTGGATTGTAAGAAAGGCAGTTGGGGAGCAAGCTATATGCGTAATTGGCCGTGCACTGACTTGCAAGTACTGTATAGCAGACGACTTCATAGAGGTAGATGTTGATATAGGATCTTCGGTGATAGCAAATGCAATTGTTCATCTCGCATATAATTATTTATCAACTCTTGCTGTTGATTTAGCTTTCCTTATCGAGAGTCAAACTCAATCAGAACTTCCAGAACGGATTTTAGGAGCGGTAAGATTTTCAGAGCTGCAGACCACTTCAGCAACACTAGTTGAAATGCCATCCAATGAGAACATGGGAGAGTTGCTTCCTTCTTTCCCTTCAAGGTTATGGAAGTCATTTGGGCACAGTTTCTCCCACCTTGTTCAGGCAGATACTCAAGATGGTAGCTCCAGCTCCATCCCCTCACTTGTAAAGGGGGATGTTGATAATGGTCTCTCTGAAGAAGGTACCAAAAAATGGTAAGTGATCTTAGAATTTAAGAGCACTTCATCAAATGCATGACCTGATGAAAGAAGCTGGAATTTTCCATCTGTTAGTTTTACTTTTTCCCTGTTTAAGTATGACTGCATTTTTTACTTTTTATAAACACCTACCATGGTAAAATGAGTATCTTTTACATTGCTAAGCATGACAACTACAAAAGTTTGGCTCATCCTGGTTTTATCCAAAAATTGCAAAAGCCTGTTTCATGGTTAAACTTCTAAGTTCTTCATAAAAAAAGGGTTAAACTTCTGAGTTCATGTTTTATTTTACTTTATACCCTAAAGGCGCGACCTCCATAACCTCCTATCTAAGGTCATGTCCACGGGAAGCTGAAGCAAGACACAATTTTCCAAGGGCATGACCTTAGATAGGAGGTTATGGAGGTTGTGGATTAGGGTAGAAGGTTAGTAGGTAGTTGAGCGTTGTCTCGTTTCCTAGCTGGATAGGCTTGGTGGTAGGTTGGTGCATTGGACCTGTTTCCCTATTTATAGTAGTAGCACTTTTCTCATAGTTGCATGTCTTGCGACTTTTGTTACTCCATATTATTTATTGTGCTTCAGTTATCACATTAGTTGGTTAATGTTATTGCTCCTCTTTTGAATGTTATGGTATGTTCTCCCTATTATTTTCTATATCCTCTTTACTTCTGTATTTTTCTTTTAACTGCTCTAATGTTCATTACTCGAGACGAGGGAAGATGATATCCACTTTATATTGCTAAGCATGGCAACTCGTAAATAAAAGTTCGGAAAAACCTTCTTTGATCCAATATGTTAGCACTAAAATTAGTCTACTTAGGGGATGAAGCTCTTTTTTTGGTGGTATTGGCGGAAAAGGTTACTTCCTTCCCAGGGTTACTAAAAATAAAGTAAAGATGACGACTTTGATTTAATTCCATAACATCGAAAGCTCCCAGTTCATCCTCTTCCTGAGAATTTTCCTCCTGTTAATTAAAGCATCTTGAATGGTTGTTATGATTGCTTTGAGCAACACTATTACTTGTTTTATCTTTTTTCTGAATTTCCTCGGACTTCTTTCCACCCGTAACCAATGCACTTTGAAAGTTTCCACTGTAAGTGTGGATTCTTAAGTTCATGTCATCTATAAAGCTTCAAACTCATCGCATTATGGTTTTAAAAGATCTTGTAGGGGTCCCTCTGGCCAGCTATGCATCCAGAGTAGATTTTACATACACTATCATTCTTCTCTCTTCTATTTACCGGTCCACAGAATGCATTAAATCATTTGAGATGCTTCCCTCATACATAGTGCCAATGGTTGTAGCAACTGTCTCATCTCATGTTTGAAATGACGCCTAACTCCCAAGTAGATAAACAATGAGTTTAATAGCCAAGTATATCTACTTGGCATTTCTACCTATTTCAGTGTTGGATATCCTTCATGTATCAAGTCTCTCGTCCAGTAGTCTACTATAAAATCCACAGGAAACGTCATAATTTGCTAAATCTTTCTCAGAAACATTTATATTTACTCATTGCTTAAACAAAAACATGCAAGTCGTGTGCTGTTCTTGTTTTTCAATCTCCAATGAAAACACATCGTCAATATCCATGCAATATGTCCATTGCTCTCTTCTTGTTCTTCATTAGATGGTTCTCTCTCTCTTTATATTCTTCATTGGACGTTTCAGAGGAAATGTTACTCATGTTATATGCATTAAAGATACTTTTTTTTCTAATTTTCTAATAGCTTTAATGAATCTGTATATCTCCGTTTCCCCTCTGCATTCTGAAATTGAGTTTTCGTAGCCATAGGTTGGACATATGCTTATTGTATAGTAAACTGATACTTCTCTTAATCATTTGAACTTTGCAGATCTCCACACTGTAAATATGATGCATTTCTGAAACGTTCAATGGCTCCAAGCTTGGAGAATTCTAATATTGGGGTCTCATATTGTTGCTTGTGATGGCTACACTCACCGCTATTTATAGCTGTAGAAATATGTATACATTTCTGGGGGAGATTTAGCGACATGGAACTCCAGTAGCATTCTTCACTATTAAATAGCCTCTGCCCATCTTCTCATTGCTTTCTGAAAAGAAAAAAAACACTCCCAGTTGCCCATTCATTTATATTCTTGATATTGATTTTTATTTATTTATATCAATTACTTGGTGATAATAGGTTACTAATTTGAAGGGTGTTGATTGATTACACATTAAAGGAAATGTTTTCACACAGATTGCAGGTAGGATATTTGTTGCAGATGCTTTAAATCTTGATTATGCAGTTATTGCATCTTAATTTTTAGATTTTTCTTCAAATTTCAAGTATTGATTGTCTATTGGAAACAACCTCTTTCCTCCAAGATAGGGGTAAGGTTTGCGTATACTATTCTTCCTACACTCCATTTATTGGGTATATTGTTGTTATTGTTCCATATTAATTTGACTGGTATTGTATTGTGATTTGCCAAAGAGAAGTTATGCATATTTTTGCACAAACCTATCCAACATCAGCAAATCCATGATCAAATTTGAATTTTTTCCATCAAAATAACTAAGATAAAAGGGAGGGTTGAGGATATTTTCCTTAAAAAAAAATATTTTCTTGCTAATTTCTTTGTGTTAGATACGTAAGCAAATACATATCATCCTAAAAGCATTCGGTAGAACTTGTTTCATTTGCTTCCATTAGGAATGTTATTATCCTCATTTTTAAGAAACTTGTTTTCCAAAAATTTCAATCAACAAAACATGAGAAAATTAAAATAAAAAATAAAAAATCATTTTAACTTGTCAGTTTTCACATATCAAGCAAAAGACAATTCTTTTTTCCCCATATTTTACCATTAACATTAATAAATCATTTCCAAAATCTAATACTAAACATCAATTATTAGGGATAATGTAGTACAATAGTCCTGACATTTTCTTGATGGATATGTCAAATCTAAATATGACAAGTAGAAGTGAAAGGAGGGAGTAGAAAATATCTCCCTCCATACCGAACACACCCGATAAGAAAAAGAAAAAGAAAAAGAGAAGACTCTTGAATACTCTCCCATGAGGGCAAAGCTGAAATCTACATGATTCAAAACACAGTTTCAACAACATACCCATTGTTATCCCACAAAATAGGGTCTAGAGACTATGCAAATCTTACCACTACCTAAGAGGTAGAGAGGTTTTCAATAGACCCTCGGTTCAAGAAAAACCCATCCAAAATAGTATAGAGAAAGAAATAACGAAAATGAAGACAATCATGTCAAAATACTACAAACAACCTCACAAATCATCCTAAACAATAGTCTTAACAAGATATAATGATAATCAAAGTGAAAAAATCATAAATAATTACCAAACTCGAAGGACAAAGAACTACAAGAGTACGAGGGCTATTGACACACAGTACAAAGCTTTTGTCTACGACACGATTCCAACTTGTTCAAATTTTGGTCAGAGGTTGCAAAACTATGACCTTCCAAAGGATCTAAGAAAAACATTTCCACCTTGTTCTACTCAATGAAGGTAAAGAATGCTACCTGACACAAAACTAACCTAAATAATATAGTTGAATCCTTCAAAGATTGCAAATATGATCTTCCAAAAGATTTAAGAAAAACAGTTCCAACTTGTTCACTCAATGAAGGTACAAGGATACCACCTGACCAAAAACTAGCTAACATAAGGTCCTATTAAGGTTCAAACATTAACATTTATACTAACAACAATTAACAAAGCTAGTATAAGGAAAATATCTAAGAAATAGTTCAAAATACAAGAAGGCGATCTCGCCCCAAACAAAAATTTATACAGTTAAACCAGTGCCTTCTTCTCTTTGAAGGCTATCTTCGTACTTAACAGGACTCTTTTTCTTGACTAGATAGTGAATGTCCCCATGTTTTCTTTGTTTCCTGTTTCTTTCATTGGAGGGTAGCACAGTGGTACATGGTAGAAGCACGGAGCATGAGAGAGAGATAAGGGACAGAGGGAGATCAGTAACTAAGATTGAAGCTTTGACAGTATAAACAAAATCCACGAATCTACTCTGACATAAAATAAGCATTATAATGGAACAGAAATTGACAACAGTAAATGTAATTGTTCAGTATGTAGCGTAAACAGCAGGACAGAAATTCTGTTGAGATTTGCAAATATCATCCTGCTAAATCATTTATAATGCATAGATGGGACACAAAGGCTAAAGCACTTAATCACAAAAATTTAGTGTTAAGTGGAATACATCATGGTTCATCTATATTCTATCAAATGTAATAACAACTTTGCGCACCACAATTACAAATGACAGTGGTTACCTAAAAAGTTGGTTCAATTAACAAACAGGTGCTTCGAGAACCAATGAACATATCATCGGGTAAATGATGGTTTTGGAGGTAACTGTGCATAATCAACAACTCATCCAGCAAATACCAATACTAGAATTACGTTGTGATCCCCAAGTAAGCAGTGAAATCTTCCAAAAGCTATACAAGATCGGCACCAGCATCTGGTAATGTACTCATCCGTAAACTTCTACCAGTTCCAGCTGCGAAAAAACGTACTGAAGGCAGAGAGGGATCCGTGACAGGTTCAATCTCAAGAAAGTTCAAATCAAATGTACCAGACTTTTTCAAACTGAAAACAAACACAAGCGCAGTCCATCCCAGCATTGTAACCGCCCAGTAATTGTTCATCCCATGTATCAGACCCCAACCAACAGCATAACCAACAATAATTCCCGATAAATGTCCAATAAAACTCGCTTGAGGAACAATAATGGAAGTGAATATGAGCGACTCAAATGGCGCAAAGCTGATGGGAAGTGAAAGAAAACCAAAAAGATTCAACTTTGACGACGGTTGCTTGACCGAAAGAATCGTCATCCAACCAAACACCACACAAGAATATCCAACAGCAGTAACTCTCCGAAAATACTCTAGCTTAAATTTCTGAATCAAGATATGGTACATTCCAATGACAAGTATGCCCGAAAGAACAACCAACACCAGTGTATAATGAAGATAATACTGTACTCCAAGACCTAAATGCCCCAATTGCTCAACAACTCCAAGACTCCAAAGTGCACTCATATTGAAAACAAGATGAAGCACACTAATATGTGAAAATGCTGATGTTATTATCCTCCAATAATGACCTTCCAAAGCAGTTTCATAACTCAAACCAACATGTGAATAACCAATATTTGACTTCTGAATATAAAACCAAATTGCACTACATATTCCAATTGCACAACTAGTTGCTGGCTTCTCCAATATCTCATAAAACAATGGTTTCCCCATGTGAAGAAACCTTTTACCCCCTCAGCCACTCACAATTCCTTCTTCAACTTTACTGCTAAAATGCTTACAAAGACACAACTTCCTCCCCTTTTTTTACCTTCTGGGAATGCAATTAATCAAATTCAATACAGAACCTCAGAAAAATTGAGTCTTGAAACAGATATAGAAAACCCCAAATCAGAAAATCAAGAATCTTGCACTTCAGACTAATTTATTGAACGTCAAATCACATAAACACCCAAATCAGCAAACCCAACTTCAGAATTTCTTGATTGCAATGTTATTCAGATCCAATATAACTAAGATTCAAGAAATCTTTGCACAAAGATCAATCAAGCTATCAATTTTCAATAAATTTAGAAAAATTGATGGTATCCCAAATCTAAAAACAACAAGATTGAATGTATGAATACTTACAGATTTCTTGAAGAAATGTTGCTAGAAAATCAATGTAATTAGAAAGAGGGGTTTCAGTTGTTTCGCTTGTGAAGAAGAGTCGAGGCTCCTCTGGAGTGACATACGCAAATGGAAAAATTACAATTGTGGTCCCTTGTCGGGACTAGTTTGTATAAGATATAATAATCTCACGATAAAATGTAGAATCTATGTTTTGTTGAAGGTATTTGACATTTCTATGATTATTTTTTCGCCATTTACATTGCAGTGTATCTCATATACATGGTAGAATAATTTATTTCAAAAGAACTTATTATGGGATAAATTAATCTAGTAGAATAATTTATTACGGGATAAATTAATCTCGCGATAACGTGTTTCCAATCGAACGATCCCTAATGTCCTGTTTATTTTTATTCTGACATCCATGAATATATATTTAAATATTAAGATATTTGAGTGATAAAGTATTAAAATTATTTATTTACTTAATATGTGAATATATAGTTAGTGTTTGGCCCCAAGTCTCAAATATTCTTGGCAAATCATATTTAAGTGAAGTTTTTGGTGAAATTTCACCATGTATTTGGCTTCAATTTTTTCAAAAATATGATTTATACCAATAAGTTCTAAAAATTATTTAAAATACCCATAAACTTATATTACAATTTTATAATGAATATATTTCGTTAAAAAAATAACATTATAATATAATTGGTAAGAATCAACAATAACAAAATAACAATATATGCAAGACAATACATTGATCGCATACTTCAACTTGTTCAAATATAATTATAACTCATTAAACACAAATTGTTCTTTCTTCTTAATTTTACCACTCAAATTAGAAGAACTTTTTCGGAGAAGGTAGTAACCAATATTAGTTGGAATTAATAAATAACGTGTATTTTTATACGGAAAAGGACCTAAAATACCCTCGAAGTATTGGAAATGGTACAAAACTACCCCTCATCCACCTATAGGCTCCAAAATACCCTTGTCATCCACTTATTGGCTTCAAAATATCTATGTCATCCACCTTTGGGTCCAAATTTAACCACTTTTTTAACGAATATTCATTGATTATTTTAATTAATTAATAAGTATAATTTATAAACCCCCTCATTACTAATTAAACTCGTCCCAATTAATACACTCACCCCAAATTATAATTACCCACCAATTAAACATAACCCTTTCACCATTCATTCCCAACACCTGTATAGAATCATTGCTTAATTACTCAATTATGTGTCTCTTCTCTGTATATTTTTAGCTATATTAGATTTGACTTATATTTCTGTTCATTTCCCTCATCAAAGTAAGGTTGATTAGGTTGTTAGAACAAAAAATTAAGTCAAATCTCTTGTCTTGTATTTCAAACTCTTAATCGATCATTTGTCACAAAATTGCAGAATCCATCAACATGTAATGTTGTAAAACAAGAAAAATTGTTGATTGTCATTTCCTACTTACATTCAATACTAATTCAAAGTGCTACATTTTCGAAATTTGCACAGATGGAAACATTACTATAACTCAAATGTTACAATGCATTATAAGAAGGCAATTTCTTTATGCAACATTGACCTCAATCAGTCCACAACAAGGAAAATCAATAATTAACAGGTGTTGGGGACGAAGGGTGAAGAGTTTTGTTTAATAGGTGGGCAATTATGATTTGGGGCGAGTGTATTAATTGGGACGAGTTTAATTAGTAATTAGGGGGTTTATAAATTATACTTATTAATCAGTTAAAATAATCAATGGTTGAGCGCTACGTATTTTAAAAAATAATTAAATAATTTAAATGAATATTCGTTAAAAAAGTGGTCAAATTTGGACCCAAAGGTAGATGACAAGGGTATTTTGGAGCCAATAGGTGGATGAGGGGTAATTTTATACCATTTCCAATACTTCGAGGGTATTTTAGGCCATTTTCCGCTTTTTATAAAAATATAAAAATTTGGGGTAATTCTTGAATTTTTTTGAAATTTCCAAATATTAAAACTTGACCCAAATACTAGTTTTTTCTAGTATTTGAGAACTTGAGATACTTAGCAAATATATTTGCCAAGTTATATGACCAAACACCACTTTTCCCCCAAATTTTCTCCAAGTATTCTTGAGGCCAAACGGGTTCATAATATTTACGAGCATTACACTATTATTGCAAAAAAAAAAGTCAAAATATTTTTATAAGTTTTCAAAATTACAATCACAAAATACACACACTATATTTGTCCAAAGAGAGAGATTCACCATATATCATATAATAAAATATCTCATTTTTAGATAGGAGAAAATTCATTAGCCTACCAATCTTTTTTCTCTTTCCTTCTTTCCTTTGGTAAGATTATATTTATAAGAATGGTAATTAAATCTTTATGTATCACTACTAGGAAAGTGGTTGTGTTGTCCTAATATGGTAAATAAATTATTTGACAATCTGTTCAACTTCATTTCACATTGCAATAATCTTAAATTGAAATAATCCAACAAAAAAAAAAAACTATATAAAGCAAGAAAAGGGGATAGGTATTTATACAAAATAAACATCTCATCACAAATTTGTTTTACACTTTTTTATCATGGCAATGAGAAAGGCATCCATCACATTGCTCTCCATTGTTTTTATGGTACTTATCACAATAGGTATATTTATGCCTCTTTTATTTCCTCATTTAAATTAAAATCATAAAACTTCATATACGTTAATTATTATGATTAAAGTCACAATTGAATGGTGAATATTTAATCAGTAATACAAAATCAACTTCATGCTTGCGATTTTGAAATATTAATTCATTTTCACAATATTATTCCTAAGAAAATATATTGCATATTAAAATCATATTTTGATTATTTTCAACATGTGATCTATCAATAATACTATATGCTAAAACTTTTTTAATTTTTTTAATTTTTAGGTTTGCAAAGTGTGGAAAGTTCATCCTTGATAGGTGAACCATGCAAAACAAATAAGGATTGTGCTCAATTTTGTGGTAGTGTGACACCCCTTTGCTATAATGGTCACTGCATTTGTACTAAAACTAATAGCAATAATCAGGCTGGAACTATTAGAAAATTTTTACAACATAATTAATTAGGAGTCTATGATTATACACAAAAATTATTGTACTATTTTAAAAAATTCATATGTTATAAGAAATAATAAAGATTTCCAATAGTGTGAGAATTTAATTTGTCTATTTTTTCTGTTTTGGATTTAACTTTTTATATCATGTTCATCAAGTTATGATACTTTTGACTTTCAAATATTATAAATGATACTTTAATATATTAACTCGAGAAAAAAGGAAAAAGATTATTGAATTTGTAACACTAACTTTAAAATTAAAGTGAAAGGACAAAGTTTGGGTATCATTTTTTAAAATATTAAAGTGAAAGGACACTTGTTTTTCATCATTTTTTTTTTTTTTTGAGTTTTTTCTTAAATAAAAGTAAAACTTGGGGTCAAGGAATTATAATGTTGAAATTGAACCCTCATCCAATAAAATAAAAGTTCCTAATATCTATTTACCTTTCAAATTTGGACGAAGAATTTAATAATAAATTTATTGACCATTTTACTCTGAAATAAAAGAATAAAAAAAACTTTGATTTGGACATGAGACATAACACTTTTTGAATCTCTTATTTGACACCAAAGTTACACAAGTTTCACTATATAATTTTTTGACGGATAAGATTCAACTAAATCCCTTCCACTACATCAAATTTTATGTCTTACCTCAATTTAAGGTGAGTGTGTACGATCGATATTGATATTCTTAACTTGTCATTAACTCAAGAAAAAATGAAAAAAATTATTGAATTTGTAACACTAACTTTAAAATTAAAGTGAAGGAACAAGATTTGGATTTGACCTCCTCTATTCATTAAACACTTGTTTTTTATCAAACTTTTTGAGTGAAAAATAGGGGAAGGGATTACAAATCGAATTCTCATTTAACAAGGTAAACAATCTTAATTTCTATGTACCTTCAAATTTCTTACAAAGAATTTAATTAATGGTAAATTTATTGACCATCTTAAACCTATTAAAACCCTAAAATAAAAAAAAAATTAATTTGGGCAGGAGACATAACACACTTTTTTAAACCAAAGTTACAATCTCCCCTCAATAAGTTTTAATGGACGAGATTCAACTAAACCCATTCGTTACATGTATTTTGAAGCTCCGACAAAATTTGGATCGCACATTGCAGGGCTCATTCGAGAGATAACTCTCCCAACATAATATTTTTCATACCCAAAACTCGAATCTAAGACCTCAATATTTTTTATAAATACTCACTATTTATTCACCCTGTATGTACAATAGGAGAGTCTGGCCCCAATAATTGTTAGCTAGGGGTACTAGCACAACTTACATCAAATGGTTCTTTGGCCAATTTAAGGTTACAACTCTCTTTGGGCAACTTCTATGAATAACAAGTTGATTTCCCATATGGTCCTTTTCGCCAAGTTGATTTCACATACGATCATTCAAGTCACATCTTAATAAAATAAATTAGAATTTTAAAAAAAAAAAAGTGACGTTCTGAGATAATAACTATTAATTGAGTAATCATATAAAAAATCAACCCCCGTTTCACCATAATAAATGTCATATGCCTTCAATTAGGCTAATAATATGTATAAATTGTAGGTATTATGTTAGCCTAGACAAATCAAACTATGTAATATATAGTACTATTTATAATTTGGTATACATATAGTTTTTTCAAATAACACTTTCCATTACATTTCTAATATAGGAACCTTTTTCAAGTGTTCTAACAAGTGAGATTATCCCCAGTATCTACACCAAGTTGGTGGCAATACTGAACATAATGTTGAACCCTTCTAGCAACAGGCTGAGGAAGGGCACCATCACACTCAAGAGGACCATTAATAGCTCGAATCGTAGCCCCGAAACCTTGGCCAGAAGTTAAGAGAGGATGGCAAGTGTTCATCCAGTACCATAAGGCAGTTTTGAATGATATTAAACTATCTCTAGACACAATATCGGGGTCGTTAAGGCCATCGAATCCAATGTCTTTTCCAGCCGGACCATAGTTGAAGTTCCATGATAGTTGGATTGGTCCTCTACCATAATAATTTTGCC